TTGCTGCTGTCTACATCGCCACACTCTGCCATGTGCCACTTTCAGATCTCCTCACACTGCTGGTGTGTTACCCATTTTTTGTCATAGGGTGCTGGCAGATTACGGGCCTCCCATTGCTGCTGCCAGGCCCGTAATCTGCCATATGGGCCCCCGTACCGACTCCTCATGCTGTGACGTTGCAACAAGGTGGAATTTCAACCCTACATATGTTAGACCGCCTTTTACGAACAGCGAAAGGCCATCACAGATTTCCTGATGTTAAAAGCGGATAAAGGTACTCCCTGTGTACACTTAGATGTCAGCCATTGGCAGCTCATTCGTGACAGCCTGCGCTTGCTCAGGCCCTTTGAGGAGGCCACGCTATTCGTGAGTCGCAGGACTATGGATGAACGACGTCATTCCTCTGTTGCACGTCCTGGAACAAATGCTGTTAACAATGGCTGGTCAGGGTGCGGTAGACGTGGCGCACAGATCTCAACGCCACATGACCCCTGTGGGGGCAGGACAGGAAGAAGAGGAGGAGGTAGAGGAGGACATTGGTGCTCAGGAATTATTGAGTGAAATGGGTGGTTTTTCCACTCAGCGGACAGGAGTGGAGGAGCAGGAGCATCTGGTAAGGAAGAGGAGGAGGAGACAGAGGACCCAGACGCACCGTGGCAGTATGCTGTGGAGAATGGAGGCAGGGAGTCCCTCGCATTCCTTGGCACAAATGGCCCATAGCATGCTCGCTTGCTTGCGTAGTAGCGAATGCCCAATAATAACCATAAGACAGAGGGATGACTTTTGGCTGTCCACCTTGTTGGACCCCGTCGCTACCGTTCAAAAATGGTGGCCTTTTTCACACCTGCTGAGAGGGGAGGGCCAAAATAACGTACTATAAAAAACCACCTATGTAGTCAGCTGGTCTCTGCCTTTCTGCGCCAACGTCCATCCTCAGACACTGTGGGCCCTGTGTGCTCACCGTTCCGCTGCCATGGCAGCAGGGAGGGGTGGGGGTGGTAGGAGCAGTGGCAGCTCCACCAGCAGCAGCTTCTGCTTAGTCTGCAGTCGATGATGAGTAGCTTTCTTCACCAGCGCAGTGAGGAAACTACTAACCAGCTGCAGCAGCAGCAGCATCAGGTGGGACCTGGAGCAGGACCTCAAACAACAGGCTTAGGCCTACTTGGACAGCACCCTGCCAACCGAGGTAGACAATCCCCTTGACTACTGGGCAACGAAACTTGACCTTTGGCCCCAACTAGCTGAATTTGCCCTTGAAAGGCTGTCATGCCCGGCCAGTAGCGTGGCATCGGAGCGCGTGTTTAGTGCGGCAGGAGGTATTGTAACTCCGCGGAGGACACGACTGTCCACCCAAAGTGTGGAGAAACTCACGTTTTTGGAAAATGAATCATCAGGCGTGGATTAGTCTGGATTTCAAAACCACCAGTTCCTGACACAACTGACTTAAATCCGCCCATGAATCATGCCCCAAACATGTGCCACTTTCAGGTCTCCTCACACTGCTGGTGTGTTCCATTTTTTGTCATAGGGTGCTGGCAGATTACGGGCCTCCCATTGCTGCTGCCAGGCCCGTAATTTGCCATGGGCCCCTGTATACGCCTCTATCATGCTGCTGCCAGGTCCCAGAGTGTGTCATGGGTCCCTGTACGGCCTCCCATTGCTGCTGTCTCCATCGCCACACTCTGCCATGTGCCACTTTCAGGTCTCCTCACACACTGCTGGTGTGTTCCATTTTTTGTCATAGGGTGCTGGCAGATTACGGGCCCTCCATAGCTGCTGCCAGGCCCCTAATCTGCCATGGGCCCCTGTACCGCCTCCTCATGCTGCTGCCAGTCCACAGTGTCTCATGCCATGTGCCACTTTCAGGCCTACTCGGCGGTGTGGCAATTTTTTTGTCAAGCCGCCCGAGGAAGTAAACGTAGCCGTATGTCGACTATGTGGCCAGAATGTCAAGCGTGGCCAGGGGGCCCATGTTGGGACTACAGTGTTGCGTCAGCATATGCAGCGTCGCCATTTGGTGGCCTGGGAAAACCGTGCTAAAGATACGGCGGTTTCTGCCTGCCCCAGCCCAGGGTTCCATTTTGTCATAGGGTGCTGGCAGATTACGGCCTCCCATTGCTGCTGCCAGGCCTTAATCTGCCATGGGCCCCTGTACCGCCTCCTCATGCTGCTGCCAGGTCCACAGTGTCTCATGGGTCCCTGAACCGCCTCCCATTGCTGCTGTCTCCATCGCCACACTCTGCCATGTGCCACTTTCAGGTCTCCTCACACTGCTGGTGTGTTCCATTTTTTGTCATAGGGTGCTGGCAGATTACGGGCCTCCCATTGCTGCTGCCAGGCCCGTAATCTGCCATGGGCCCCAGTACCGCCTCCTCATGCTGCTGCCAGGTCCACAGTCACTCATGGGTCCCTGTACGGCCTCCCATTGCTGCTGTCTCCATCGCCACACTCTGCCATGTGCCACTTTCAGGTCTCCTCACACTGCTGGTGTGTTCCATTTTTTGTCATAGGGTGCTGGCAGATTACGGGCCTCCCATAGCTGCTGCCAGGCCCCTAATCTGCCATGGGCCCCTGTACCGCCTCCTCATGCTGCTGCCAGGTCCACAGTCTCTCATGGGTCCCTGTACGGCCTCCCATTGCTGCTGTCTCCATCGCCACACTCTGCCATGTGCCACTTTCAGGTCTCCTCACACTGCTGTTGTGTTCCATTTTTTGTCATAGGGTGCTGGCAGATTACGGGCCTCCCATAGCTGCTGCCAGGCCCCTAATCTGCCATGGGCCCCTGTACCGCCTCCTCATGCTGCTGCCAGGTCCACAGTGTCTCATGCCATGTGCCACTTTCAGGTCTCCTCACACTGCTGGTGTGTTCCATTTTTTGTCATAGGGTGCTGGCAGATTACGGGCCTCCCATTGCTGCTGCCAGGCCCGTAATCTGCCATGGGCCCTCGTACCGACTCCTCATGCTGCTGCCAGGCCCGTAATCTGTCATGGGCCCCTGTTGTCGCTTGTTGGCATATTCCACTCGTTCAGATGCTCCTTCTCCTGCTACTCCTCTTCACGGATTCCGTCAGCAGTCTTTCTTGGAATTCCGTTTCCAAGAGACAACAGTTTGCGAGCACGCACCCGACGGTGCAGAAGCTGAACGTCCTCCTGTCCAAGTTGCTGCTGCCAGGCTCGTAATCTGTCATGCGCCCCTGTACCGCCTCCTCATGCTGCTGCCAGGTCCAGAGTGTGTCATGGGCCCCCGTACCGACTCCTCATGCTGCTGCCAGGCCCATAATCTGTCATGGGCCCCTGTACCGCCTCCTCATGCTGCTGCCTGGTCCAGAGTGTGTCATGGGTCCCTGTACGGCCTCCCATTGCTGCTGCCAGGCCCGTAATCTGCCATGGGCCCCCATACCAACTCCTCATGCTGCTGCCAGGCCCGTAATCTGTCATGGGCCCCTGTACCGCCTCCTCATGCTGCTGCCAGGTCCAGAGTGTGTCATGGGTCCCTGTACGGCCTCCCATTGCTGCTGTCTCCATCGCCACACTCTGCCATGTGCCACTTTCAGGTCTCCTCACACTGCTGGTGGTTTCCATTTTTGTCATAGGGTGCTGTATGGCCTCCCATTGCTGCTGCCTCCACCACCACACTGTGGCTCCACACTCTGGTTTTGGCCCCGTGGCTGCCTAAATGAGTGAAGTGTGCGGTGATTCTAAGATCGACGGCACTCATCTGCATGTCATACTGACTGTCAGCGCATGCGCCCAAGCATCAAACCCTTTCCAAGGCTGCAAAGCGTATCATGGCAGTATTATGACCATGCTTCAAAGCCACATGTCTACCAATAGGTGTGTACAACAAGTTTCTTCTAATATAGTAAATGTGATCATATATTCTTTTCCAAAAATTTCTAATGGTCTTACCCACATAGAAGGCACCACATTTACACAACATAATATACACAACACCTTTGCTTTGATGATCTACAAATTGCCTAGTCTTGTGTATCATCCCATTAGGTAAGTGTATGGAGGTCCCCTTGAGGGTCCAAGCACAACAATCACATGATCCACATTTAAAGTACCCTTTCTATCCTCAGTGTCAGATGGTATATCACAAAAATGACTCCTGACCAAACAGTCCTTAAGTGATTTAAATCTTTTAAATGTAATTTGGGAATAATTCTTGATGTATTTGTTTAGGATAGGGTCATCAGGTAATAAATGCCAATGCTTTTGTATAGCATCCCTAATCTTATGATGCTGATTCGAGAAGGTGGTACCAATCCTCACTATATCCTGTAGGTTACTATCCCGTTTACCAAATAGTAAATTCAGGTGGAAGTGATGTTCGTGTGCTTGCATGATGCCCGATCACCGCTAGGAGGGGTGGTTCCGCCCTATGGTTGGTTGCACTTCTGTCCATTGGCTGTTTGAGCGGAGTTAATACTTTAGTGCATGCGTGATGCGCGATCACTGCTGGGAGGTATGGTTTGTTTCCATCCTATAGCCTACCTAGGCGCAATTGCGGTCCCAAATTGATGACAGCATTTAAGCTCCCCGCCATATGCCGTTATTGGCATCATTGAGGAGAGACACATATTGTGATCTCTCGGGCACATTAACCAAGTATTGATTTATACTATCTGTGTAGAAAATGTATTTCAATAAATATGTTTAATGTTGAATATGAGGCTGTCTGCCTTCTGTGCCAGTAAAGTCCCATCAGGTTTTGGTTTTTCTTATTGCAAGGTAAAATGAAAGACATTAATTATCCTGTTGCATTGGCATCAAAAAGTGGGTGGGATATAATTATACAACAAGTGAGGAATGATGAAACAAGCGAGGAAGTTGACCCTGAAGTCGATGTCTTGAAAACAGAAAAAATGGGCAAGTATAAGAATCTGAGCAACTTTAACAAGGGAAAAATTGTGGTGACTAGACAACTGGGTCAGAGCAACTCCATAATTGCAGCTCCCGGTCTGCAGTGGTCAGGACCTACCAAAAGTGGTCCATGGAAGGAAAACTGGTGAACCAGTGTCAGAGTCATGGACTCTAAGGTTTGAGGAACACAACAACGAATTCAAGGTGCCGACTTTGCATTCAAATTCTCCAGGACTCAATCCAATTGAACATCTGTGGGATATACTAGTCAGGACTTAAAGCATATGATACTGAAGACTTGGTGCCAAATACCACAGCATACCTTCAGAGGCCTATTGGAGTCTTTGCTTCGACAGGTTATGGTGGGTGGTGGTCATAATGTTATGGCTGATTGGTATATGTTCAGTATACTGTGTGTATATACATATATATATATATATATATATATATTATTATTTTCACAAATCAAAGGGTATTCCAGCAAGTGACATAAAAAGGCAAGGACAATAAAATGAAAAAAAAAAAAAATAATAGTGTTTGTATGTGAAATGTACACAAGTAGCTTTATGGCTGTAGAGAGACTTCATAGAGAATCTCAAATGCAGAAGCACCACTACCACCTACAGATGGTCACCAAGCCACCAAACTGTGTCCTCCTGCCATAATGTCCCAACATCAATAGCACTATTTCCTCTCCATTGTTTTCATCTTATAAATATTATGAAGTACAAAAAAGAGAATACTAGGTGAATGAAAGGAAACATAGCCAGAAAACTTGTCTCTTACAAAAACAATTTTAAAACACCGTTTTGGAGGTTTGGTTATTGGGAATAATGTCACTAAAGATACAAGATTTTGGTCCAAAACATTTGAGTTGCTCATCTTTAATTATGAAGACTTATTTTTTATTACTTTTGGTCCCTGCGAATTGACAGATTTAGTCTTGGTTTGGAAAGATATTGGATATATACTAATGGCAACAGATTATTATTATTATTATTATACAGGATTTATATAGCGCCAACGGTTTGCTCAGCATTTTACATTATAGTGGGAGACAATACAGTAACAATACAGTTCAATACAGGAGGGAGTTGAGGGCCCTGCTCCTTGGAGCTTACAGATAGCCTTGATCCCTTTTCCACTCTGCAGATACTGCATATGAATGATCCTGGATAACCACATTTTCTACTGGCTATATGTGCCCTTTAATTTAATTTCAGACAGTAGTATAGCATTTGTGGCTTGCATTTTAGGCTCCAGATAAGTTATTACCGTATACATTTCCACAGGGCATCACATTTTTCTTACCAATTCTAAAGGTTCGTTTTTGTTTATTTCAAATGGTATTAGTACTTTTAAACGTAACAGTGATATACAGTATCTCCTCCATTTTTCTCCATGCTTTAAAATGAGTTGTGTAAGGATATTTCTTTAGTCACAGTTTTTTTGGCTCTGAATGCAAGGATCATTTCCTGCATCTTGCTTAATCAGAACCACAGGGTTTGTGTGGCAGAGCACCCGTGCTGTACTCAGTACTAGGCCCAGGGGCATATTTGCCGTGAGGCAAACAAGGCATTTGCCTAGGGCGGCACTTTTCAGGGGGGAGTGATCCAGAGAACACTTCTCCACTGCTCTAGAGTCCAGTGGTGGCGTGCTTTACACCACTGCATCCGATGCTTTGCATTGCACTTGGTGATGTAAGGCTTGGATGCAGCTGCTCGGCCATGGAAACCCATTCCATGAAGTTCTCTATGCACTGTTGCTGTGCTAATCTGGAAGCCACATGAAGTCTGGAGGTCTTTAGCTATTGACAATGCAGACAGTTAACAACTTCTGCTCACTTTGCGCTTCAGCATGCGCTGACCCCACTTTGCTGTTTTACGTGGCCTACCACTTCGTGGCTGAGTTACTGTTATTCCCAGTTGCACTCACTTTGTTATATTACCACCAATAGTTGACCGTGGAATATTTAGTAGCAAGGAAATTTTACAGATGGACTTATTGCACAGCTGGCAACCTCTCACGGTACCAAGCTTGAATCCACTGAGCTCCTGAGAGCAACCCATTTTTCCCACAAATGTTTGTAGAAGCAGTCTGCGTGCCTAGGTGCTTGACTTTATACACCTGTGTCCATGGAGGTGATTGGAACCCCTGAATCCAATGATTTGGAGGGGTGTCCCAATACATTTGGCAATATAGTGTATGTGTGTGTGTGGAAGAGTCAAGGTGGCATACTGACATTACCAAAAAGTATCTGAGCTTTGGCGATGCAAATGGTCTGGGATTCGGCTATAGAGGCATGACATTGAAGGCTGTTGTAGAGGTGTGAGTACTTCTAGGATTTTTTTTTTATTTTTGACAGCCACTAAAAAAAGGTTACTTCAGTTGCTTATACACCTATGGCAATGTTATAATTTATCCCA